ATTATATTCACGCCAACCAAATATTTGAGTTTAGAACCTATTTTAAATATTTTTACAAAAGCAGTTAACGAAATTCGCAGACAAACAACCATGACACGCTTGCCAAACATATGGCGGTTTAAGGGTCTGTCATATCGGTATTAAAATGTCCTTTTCGCAGGCAGTTAGGGAATATTTTATGCGCATTTTCATGCCTTAATAGCGGTTTTATTGGTTGTATGTACTTCAAGTGATATTTGGTAAACTTATGACCTCAATTATATATTAATGACAACAGCAGGTTTTCTTACTCAGAGCTATTAACGTGTTAAGACGTTCGTTGAGGAATTTTATGAAAAATAAAATAAATATAATTTTAGTTTATTATGTCGAGTTCTCACATTTTAAAGCATTTATTGATTAGTTTGGCAAAATTTTACCAAAAAAAAAAATCTATCTTTTTTTAATAATCAAATAAATTATTCCTTAAAGGTATTCCTAATGAATTTTCCAAAAAATTCTCTGGTCTACATCTTCAAATCAGAAAAATCTTCCACTGATAATTTGAATTGACTTTAATTCTTCTTCTTCTAGGTGCCTTGTCCGCTTCGATCGTTGACTAACATGATTGCTATTTTGACTTTATCTAAAGCTTCTCGAAAAAGTGATCTTGTACTTTTATTGAACCATTAACGTAAATTCTTCAACCAAGATGTCTTACGTCTCCCAGGGCCACGTCTGTCTTCGATTCTGCCTTCAATGATTAACTTCAGTACTTTTCCGTACTTTTCCGAATACTGCAGAATATGACCAAAAAACTCAAACTTTCGTCGTTTAACTGTCTCTAATATTTCTGTCTCATGTATTTGTAATGTCTTCTGTCCAGCTCATTTTCAGCAATTGACTTTAATGAACTTCAAAGTTTACTTTGAAATTTATTTATCCATTTAATATAGTGAAAATTGCAATGATTGAAAGTATCTTAAATGTATTGTTTTCAGTTTAAGAATTTGAAAATATTTTTAATTTAAATTTCTGACAACTTTGTCGAGAGTCAGTGGTTTGCCTGTCTTGAAAATAGCAAAAGCGACCTCATTTAAAAACCCAACCATAAAATCTTTGATGGCAAAGCGCACTTTCAAAACTTATTAAAATCAGTTAACCGCATTTTATCTCGACTACCGCGGAGCATGCAGATTTGTTGTTTCTGCTGTGTTGCTTTAGATAAAATTCATTTTATGATGGAAACTACTTTGCCTTGAAACTGTTTTTCTCGTTAACCACCTTCACTTCCAGCTTCACAGCTTTTCGCATAAATCAGGCTAAAATCCCTGCTTTGCAACCTGCGTTCTTTTATTAATTAAAAGTGAGTAAAAATTATTTACCAAGCAAAATCGGTGAGTTCTTTTATGACTTAAGTATTTTTCAATCATTTTCTTTATAAGTCTCTGAAATATTCAAGAATTCTTTTATTTAAAAAATGCTTTTACTTTAATGAGTTTTCATAAAATTTAAAATACCGCAGAGTAATAAATTTTAAATTTTCATTAACCGCAGCGGTTATTAAAAATTAATTTATATTTTTGGTTTATTTTATTAAAAACTTTTGATAAGACAACTCATAATTTTAAACTTAATTAATTATTTATTAAATGTGTATCAATTTATGTTCAAAAATATACCACTGGAGTCGTTTGCATTCACTGTGGAGAAAATAAAAAATTTATATTATACAAATACTTGTAGTAGAAAGTTTATACTGTTGTTTTTTTATTAGGTAAAAGGTTTTTTTGAATAAAAAAAAAAAAATAAATAAATTTTTCAACAATTTATTCAAATTGTACCAAAAAATTTATTGCTTCATAAATACATATCCTTAGCACAAATAATTTTTATTTACAATTTAAAGCTTTTTGAATAGTGTAATGTATTGTGATAATAACAAATATATTTAAAAGAACTTGAAATCCTTCAAGTCTTATAATATCTTAAGCCATTAACTGAATAATTCCTATGTAAATGCTCAGACTATACACGATTAAAACATTTTACGCGATTAAAGCATTTGGAAGTCTAGATGCAAATTAACATAGCGAACGTCCTAATTATATGTAGATCTTAAAAAAATACTATTTTTTTATGAACCACGCATTTTGGTTAAAAGGTCTAGAACCTAACCTCCAGATGTATAATAACAAAACGACTCACCGCGTTGCCTGTACCCTACTTAAGCAGAAAAAGAAGTTTTGATGTCACTAAAACCCATCAATATCGTATATTCTTTTGAAACAGCTTCAATCAACTTCACATTTTAGCATAATCTGCAACTAGTATTAATGCTAATTTTCTGTTTCAAGAAAATAAAAAGCAAAGTCTTTAAAATATTTTTACAATATTAGTTATTTAAATTTGACAAAAAATAATGCATATACAAAGTGTTTTAATGCTATACTTCATCACTAAAATTAAAAACACCACTCATTAAAGACTTTAGTATAAAATAAGTCATGTATGTTATATGTGTATAGGTTTAAATATATAATAATAAGTAATAATCATAAAAGGTGTATATATGTATAATAATATGTATATGTATAATAATATATAATATATATGATATGATATAATATATATGATATAATTTTAATTAAAATTTAATCAATTATTGTTGAATTACCATATATGCATTGTCAATAGCCATATATTTATATAATTTATTCTAATTTATGTACTAAAATATAATTAATTTTGTTCGAATGTTCAAATTAGTAGACATATAGCTTTGGACATAAGTCCACAGTCCATCTGGTGAACTTCGTAGAGAGCAACGCGAAGAATATTGAAAAATTCATTAATCGATTTTATTTACAAAAAATTTGCAATTTTGATGTATTTCTGAAACTATATTGTTAGAGCGGTTAAAGTCAAATTGTTAATATTGTAGGATTCTGTAGAATTATTATAATTGATGTGTTATATGATTTATATATTATATTTTAATCTATTTTAAATCATATATTGTATAATTAAATTATTATAATTAATATATTATATAATTCATATATAATATTTTATATGGTTAATATATATGGTTAATTAATTTATCTAACTAACCCTGTATAAGATGTAATCAAACCAACGGTTCTAAGTCTTGTTTTTATTGCCTTTTGTTTTTGCGCTCGAGATGAGCAATTTTTTTGTTATATTTTTTGGGCTGCAAGTAAACTCCGTTGGTTTGAGTCTGTCTCTTGTTTTTCGATCGCGAACGTGTCAACACACGGGTACACATAAAAAAGTGATTAAACAATCAATAACCGAAATTGTATAAATTCAATTGTATAAATTAAATGAAATCAAAACCCAATTATAAAAACGTTTATAATTTACATTGTGTTAAAGAAATTGAAATAAAGATCATAAAATCCAATTATAAAAACGCTTATAATTTTACATTGGCGACCGTGACAGGACTTTTTGCAATTTTAATAGTGGTTATTAATCTCCAATTTGTTAAAAAATCTAAATATTACCCACGTGTGGTAATCATTTTTTCTTATTAAGTTTGTAATCATTAGTGTACGCGTGTGTGCATTTCTTCCACACGGCTATTCTGTGGACTGTCGAACGTATATACTATTGTGCAATTGGTGGTTCTCGGTTTAGGTCCGCTAACCTCAAACCAGAACCTCGTGTCCGCATCAAGATCGCGCTCGACATTACAACAACAAGATACCTTTACTTGTTGATTGTACATACTTTCGCTTTTATTGTTTTTGGTTAATTTGTAACCATTAAAGTGCGCGTGTGAATATTTCTTCTAACCAGTTATATAGCTAACGCGTGCTAACTATTATAATATATCGTACATCTATATATATACTACATATGAATTATCGTACGTATATACTATTGTCCAATTGGTGGTTCTCGGTTTAGGTCCGCTAACCTCAAAACAGAACCTCGTGTCCGCATCAAGATCGCGCTCGACATTACAACAACAAGATACCTTTACTTGTTGATTGTACATACTTTCGCTTTTATTGTTTTTGGTTAATTTGTAACCATTAAAGTGCGCGTGTGAATATTTCTTCTAACCAGTTATATAGCTAACGCGTGCTAACCATTATAATATATCGTACATCTATATATATATTACCTATGTACTATCGTACGTATATACTCTTGTGCAATTGGTGGTTCTCGGTTTAGGTCCGCTAACCTCAAATCAGAACCTCGTGTCCGCATCAAGGTCGTGCTCGACATTTAAAATAACAACAACAAGCTATCTTTACTTGTTGATTGTACATACTTTCGCTTTTATTGTTTTTGGATAATTGTAACCATTAATGTGCGCGTGTGAATACTTTTTCTAACCAGCTATATAGCTAACGTGTGCTAACCATTATAATATATCGTACATCTATATATATATTACATATGTACTATCGTACGTATATACTCTTGTGCAATTGGTGGTTCTCGGTTTAGGTCCGCTAACCTCAAAATAGAATCTCGTGTCCGCATCAAGGTCGTGCTCGACAGTTAAAATAACAACAACAAGCTATCTTTACTTGTTGATTGTACATACTTTCGCTTTTATTGTTTGTGGTTAATTTGTAACCATAATGTGCTCGTGTGAGTATTGCTCCTAAACGGTTATATATCTAAAGTGTGCTAACTTTAATAATATCGTACATCTGTACATATATACTATATACTATCGTACGTGTGTACTATTGTGCATTCTATGGTTCTCGGCTTAGGTTCTGTTAAGCGCCAAATAGAACCTCGTGTCCGCATCAAGGTCACGCTGAACAATTACAACAACAACAACAAGTTAACTTACTTGTTGATTACTGGTTAATATTTGCTTCCAATCAGTAAGTGTGCGGGTTCGTCAACGTCGCGTCTGACAACAACCACCGTAAGAGCAGTTCAATTTCGGAAAGCTCACTGTTGCTATTGTGACTTTTCGACTTCGTCAAATCCTTTGCTGTTCTCAAATATCTACAACTGTTTCAATGGCAACGGCAGAGCCAACCACTACGGCAGAACTGTCAGAACTAAAACAACAGCGAGCCTCGACGAAAGCGAGTATTTCAAGAATCAAGGCGTTCGTCAAAGGAAAGAGTAATTCGCTCTCACAACCAGAACTGAAATGTCGACTAGGTATTTTAGAATCATATTTTAAACAAATCTTAGCTTTTCAGACGTTGATCGAGAAATTAGATGCAACTGACTCAGCTAGAGATGAATTAGAAGACCTATACGTTTCCACCAAAATATTAATCATGTCTCAACTGCAGGAAGAGGCCCACAATGCATCAGTGCTAGACGTAACAGCAATGATGCCCACCTCAAGTAAAAAATTACCACTGTTAAAATTACCTACATTCAGTGGTAAGTACTCGGATTATAACAATTTTATTAATTCGTTTCTCCAAATCATAGATCGCGAAATATACCTCACAAATATTGAAAAATTTAATCACTTACTGAATTGCCTTACTGGTCAAGCTCTAGAGACAGTACAGGCATTTCCTATTTCGAATGAAAACTATCCAAAGGCTCTGGATAGGCTTAAATCGCGCTATGACAATAATAGCCTAATCTTCGCCGAAAATATCGCGACACTATTTGATCTACCAGCAGTATCGGGTCAGTCAAGCCAACAACTTCGTAGTCTGGTAAACAATGCATCCGCTTTGTATGGTTCACTCTGTTCGCTAGGTACAGAGAAACAAATATGTGAGGCTCTACTTATCTCGCTAATCATGCAAAAAACGGACGCAATTACACGTAGGAAATGGAATGAATCGCGTAACTTCGACACATTACCCAGTTGGGAAGATTGCTCAAAATTATTGGATAGGCATTGCCAGTTTCTCGAATCACTCGACAGTGGAAACGGCAATCAGTCATCATCACAACGTAAACCTAATAATCGTAACTCCAAGAGTAACAGACGCTCAAAACAATACGCATTTGTTGCATCTACATCCAGCAATTCTTGCTCATTTTGTTCTAGCAATGAACACCTAATACAGAATTGTCATCGTTTTAAGGCACTGGAGGTGGTTCAAAGGTTTGAAAAGGTGAAGAGCCTAAAACTCTGCATAAACTGCTTATCGCCACGCCATCATGTGGTTAATTGCACATCAACGTTTAAATGTAAGGTTTGCGCAAAGCCACATCACACTCTCTTGCATCATTCGCAATTGCCAACGAATATTAAGAGCGCGGGATCATCACGACGCACAGAACACGCTGCTATGCCCAACGACAACGTTGCCAGCCATTCCCATTTTAATATGTCATCGGCCGAGCAAATAATTCTAGCTACTGCATTGGTTTTAGTGAAGGATTCATCGGGAAGTTATCAAGTGGGTAGAGCCTTGCTTGATTCATGCTCTCAGGTCAACTTCATAACGGAGGAGTTTTCAAAGAAGCTTAGTTTAGCAAAACATAAACATCGGTTGCATGTTTCCAGTATTGGTAGTTCGTTGACCAACATAAAGTATCAGACGCTCACATCAATCAAATCTCGTCATTCAAATCTTGAACTTGCTTTAAACTTTGGTATTACGAATCACATCGCATATCAACCAAGTTCTGAAATCGATATATCGTCGTGGAAGGTTCCACCAAATACACCTCTCGCCGATGAGCAATTCTTTAAATCCAAGCGCGTTGATCTCTTGCTTGGAGCTGAAAGTTTCTTTGATATTTTGTCTGTCGGTCAAATCAAACTAGGTGAAAATTTTCCAGTACTTCAAAAAACACTATTAGGATGGATTGTATCTGGCAAGTACAAGGGTCAGCCATTTGCATCACCAGCAGCAAAATGCCTATTATCAGTTGAAGATACAGTCTCCGATCAATTAGAAATGATGTGGAAGATAGAGGAAGTGCAATCGGCTTCAAAGTCATGGTCACCAGCACATGTTGCGTGTGAGTCATTATATCGTGAAACGGTTCACCAAAATGCGATGGGAAGAATTGTCGTTCGGTTACCATTCAAAGATTCACCAGATTGTCTTGGTTTGACACACAATATCGCCTTGCGCCGTTTTTATTCTGTAGAACGGCGATTGTCATCTAATCGTGCACTGAAGCAAGACTATCAAGAATTCATGAAACAATATCGAGAGCTCGGACACATGACGCGTGTTGAGACTCCGAAACCCAACGAACCTCATTATTATATCCCTCATCATTGTGTTTTAAAACCGTCGAGCACTTCGACCAAGCTGAGGGTGGTTTTTGATGCGTCATGTCCAACAACTTCGCAACGTTCATTAAATGATATTCTACTGGTCGGCCCGACAATTCAGTCGGAGTTATATTTGTTGCTACTTCAATTTCGTTTGCACCGATATGCCTTGACGGCTGACATTGTTAAGATGTACCGACAGATACTGATAGATGAACCAGATCGAAAATTCCAATATATTTTTTGGCGAGATACGGAGTCCGATCCTGTTAGTACTTACGAGTTGAATACAGTCACTTATGGTACTGCATCAGCACCTTTTCTAGCAACCAGGAGTTTGCAGTATTTGGCGGACAAATTTGAAACACAATACCCAATAGGCGCTGCACTCATTAAATCATCGTTCTTTGTCGACGACTTCTTAGGTGGAGCAGATTCCATTGATCAACTCACCAATATCAGACATCAGTTAACGGCCATTCTACAGAAGGGTTGCTTCGATCTTGACAAATGGCATTCAAACCATCATGACTTCATTAGCGATACTACAACAAAGAGTTTGAATCTTGATACAGATACAGTCACCAGCGCTCTAGGCATCAAGTGGCACCAAATGCAAGATGTTTTCCTATTTTCGTTCAATGCACAACCAGGTCATATTGTAACAAAACGCACCATCTTATCCCTTGCGTCTTCATTATTCGACCCGCTTGGATTACTAGCACCGATCATACTCGTAGCCAAAATTATGATGCAAGAATTGTGGCTTTTGCGTGTGGACTGGGACGAGTCAATCCCTCAAAATCTTCACTCAGCTTGGAAAACATTTATTCAAGATCTTACAACGCTTTCATCGGTTAAGGTGCCGAGATACTGCCTATCCATAAACTATCAACAGGTTGATGTACACGGTTTCTGTGACGCTTCAATACGCGCATATGGTTGCTGTATATTTCTCCGATCACAAAACACATCAGGTAAGGTGACGGTCAGGCTATTCACTGCAAAATCCCGTGTGGCACCTATAAAGCGGAAGTCGCTACCTAAACTAGAACTCTGTGGTGCCTTACTTCTTGCCAAACTGTATCAGAAGGTCCAACCAATATTTGCGCAATTTAAGGGTGAAACGTTTTTTTGGACTGATTCACAGATTGTATTACATTGGTTGAAGCAGCACTCATCAACCCTGTCTGCATTCGTTGGCAATCGAGTAGCGGAAATTCAAGATATTACCGCAAATGGGCAATGGAGACACGTTCCTACCCAATCCAACCCGGCAGATGTTGTGTCGCGCGGCTGTAACATCCGCCAATTATCAGAGTCTTGTTGGTTTACGGGGCCGGAATTTTTGTTACTCGCTGATAAATACTGGCCGCATTTGAAATGTCACAACCTGGATATGGAAGAAGTCAATAAAGAGACGCGAAAGGTTGTATTCGTTAACACAAATGAAGACAACTACGTATTACAGGTATTGTCAAGATATAGTTCATACACTAAGATGCTACGAGTAATAGCGCAGGTACAGCGTTTTTATCATGTAACCAAGAATAAATTGAAGAACGGAGAATGTACCCTCCAACCTATTCAGCTACAAAAGACATTGCACTGTATTATTTGGGTCATCCAACAGCAATTCTTCGAAATTGATATACAACGCCTACAACGAGGGAACCCAGCCGAAGGTACATTAAAGCATCTAAATCCCTTCCTGGACAATGTATTCGGTTATCAATTACTAAAGGTGGGAGGTCGCCTCGAGCTGAGTGACATCTCAGTAGGCCAACGTCACCCTATTTTGTTGCCGAAGGGCTGTTATTTTGTGGAACTTTATGTTCGGCATATACACTTGTGCAACTATCATGCAGGCGCAAAAGCACTAATTGCCCTTACTCGACTAAACTTCTGGATAATTAATATTCGAGAAATTGCACGCCGAGTCGTGCACTCGTGTATTCACTGCGTGCGTTATAAACCCAAACTACTTAATCAAATGATGGGTAATCTCCCAATCGAACGCCTCACTCCAAGCCGTCCATTCGCGCGTACTGCGGTAGATTTTTGCGGTCCGATATTAACGTATCTCCGAATTCGGGGACGGGTTCCATATAAGACCTATATAGCCGTGTTCGTTTGTCTGTCTACAAAGGCAGCTCATCTAGAAGCCGTGTCAGACTTATCTACGGAGGCATTTATTGCAGCACTGAAAAGGTTAATCGGTAGACGAGGGTTACCATCAGACATCTATTGCGACAACGCCACGAACTTCGTTGGGGCTAACAACAAACTAGCAGAGTTAAAAAGAATGTTTTTCGAGAAGTCTAATCAAGTGATGCTGCAGACCTTTTGCAGCAACCAATTCATAAATTTCAATTTTATACCGCCCCGAGCACCTCACTTTGGAGGTCTATGGGAAGCGGCTGTAAAAAGCGCGAAAGGCCATCTGTATCGAACACTATCAAATACTCGATTCACCTTTGAGGAGCTTGGAACAGCACTGATTGAAATCGAAGCTATCTTAAATTCGCGACCAATCACACCTCATTCTTGTGACCCGAGCGATTATGAAGCGCTAACGCCAGCACATTTTCTTATCGGTGGGCCGCTCAAAACTTTATCTGAACCAAGTCCTCAGTATGAATCTGCTTCATTAATTGATAAATGGTCTCGTATAACCGCAGTCAAACATCACTTCTGGCGCAGATGGTCTAGAGACTATCTGAATGAGCTGCAGATACGCACCAAATGGACAGAAGAACAATCTAACATCACCGAGGGGGCTCTGGTTTTAATCCATGAAGACAATATGCCTCCACAACGCTGGTTGATGGGCCGAATCGTGCATTGCATCAGGGGTCCAGATAATTTGGTTCGTGTTGTTGATGTGCAAACCCCAAAAGGAGTAATACGGCGTCCAATCCACAAACTCGCACTATTACCAATTGAAAATCCTTTCAAGGGGGGCGGGATGTTAGAGCGGTTAAAGTCAAATTGTTAATATTGTAGGATTCTGTAGAATTATTATAATTGATGTGTTATATGATTTATATATTATATTTTAATCTATTTTAAATCATATATTGTATAATTAAATTATTATAATTAATATATTATATAATTCATATAT